AGTTTTATTCACTCTGGACCTTGAACTTGTATCTTTATTGATAGACTTAATACTACTAAGCTTAATACTGCCCTTACGAAAAAGTCCTATAGGATCCTATAAGATCCTATAGGACTTTTTCGTAAGGGTGTTCATGATATATAACTTCTCTTTAATGGACCTTTCATGATGTTCAACACTTACCATGTAAACTGGGCATAAATTGCACACCCTTTCTTTTCTTTGTTCAAACCTTTTTCCTTTACTACATTTTGTCAGTGTACTTATTGTGAAGTCTAACATTTCTTGGCTCTACTCTACATGTGGATGATTATTCTGATTTTACAGTTGGAAGTACAACATATTCAATTTACTGACACAGGTTGCCAAAGATATCATTATTGAAATTATTAGGTGCTTTACGTCATGTATATATATATGTATAAAATGTTTAATTTGTCCCAACAGAAAGATGGCTGTTGACCAAAAATGCAAATAATACAGATAGAACTGTATATTTGGCAAACCTGACTCTCTGTTTATTCAGATGCATAGTTGCACAGCTTTGAAAATGTGTTAGTTGTGACAGTGATTGTGATGTGATGTGACATGGTGTTCAGTGAAGGCAGATCATTGTCCTTTCATGTGGTCAGGAAGTGGATTGTGATGTCATTGTTTTTGATATGCAAAATGTGATCAGAATATTGGATATGAATATGAATGTCATATGACCATTTTTACCTATGCCAAGGAGGTTATATTTCACCTCTGTCTGTCTGTTGGTTTGTTACCATTGCAAAATAGGGCCAATGACCTTGGCCTCATGCGATGGATGCACTCTCCAATATCAGTACAGGATCCTTGGTGTTGGTCTGCGCTCTTTGGGTGCTTTTCTAGTTAATTACTAGATAAAAATTTATTGTGATATCGTTTATATGAATGCAACACAATATGAATGTTTCCTGAGTGTTATGTCACGGTTTTATTATGTTTCCTTTGTGATGTCATAGCCATATCATGTGATCCGGGTTTGACTCATGATGCCTCTTTTTTCGTGTGAACAAAAAGGGAGTTATGATGTCATTATGTCATGTGATCAATACAAGACTTTTGATGTCGCTTTAAATTTGACCTTCAAAGAACTTGTTTTACCGCATGCAATATATGTATGTTCAGTTTTTTTTTTTTTTAAGGAATGTGCTTACATTTTATTGATTACATAAAGAGCATTGATGGCATGATGATTTTTAATGAAGAACAAAAAATGAAGAATTGCCCTATCATTTGTTTCTATATGCATGATGCCTTCATTCAATTTAAGAACTTAAAGAACTGCATATTAATATATTTCCAGCAATAATTAAAACATACCAAAGCAAGCTTGTTCTGCATTTTGAACATTCTACATAAGTGAATGTATGTTATGAATCTGAATTTTAGATACAGAAATGAACATTTTTGCACAGGAAAAAATGACAATATTTCATACTATATGAATAGGGGGATTTATTCCCAAATAAGAGTCCTATGGTATTTAATATGCAAAAAATATTAGAAATTACAACAGTTAAAGAGACTGCATTTTGACATTTTAATTTGATCATTGCCATACCATACATGTTGTTTTGGATTTTCTGCTTAGTTTCAAATTGGGCTATCATTTATTTTCCATTGGATTTGCATGATTTTTTCCATTCCATTGTAAATGCCTGAATCCCCTACAGAATAGATGTTCTTAGCCTGTTTCGTATTTAGGCAGATCATGTTGACAAAAATATAAATTAATATCAATATAGACAAATATTAATATGGATAAACAAATGGAAGTATTTGATCTTGAACATTATTTTCTGTTTGCACATGGAAAAAGATATTAATAACCATTTTTTATTTTAAGAAAGAAAATATGGAAAATATAAAGTGATTACTTATAAAGTCATCAATTTGAGAACAAAGAATTGACATTTTTTATCTTTTTTCTCTCCAATTACTTCACTGATGTTCCAAACTGAAAGCAGATTCAGGTTTGTTAGATGATTGTATTGTAGAAAAGTGTTTCAAAGTGTTGTTGTGTTTTGTGTTTTCAAATGTTCTTACCACGAACTACAGTTTTACAAACAATATCAGGGGAGGATCCAGAGATATTTTCTGACAGGTTTCCGAATTATCTTTATTGATCCATGTTCCACTTTTGACCGTCTTCCGACAGAAAAAATAGATATCTGTCAATGTAAACTTGAAAATCTGACCGTCTTCTGGAAGACCCAGAAGACGGCCTAAATCTGCCCCTGAATATGTAAAGTATCTAAATGCTTTGATGTCTACAAGTTTCATCTATTTTTCAGCTTGTGGAGACAAGCCATTTTTGTTTTACCAAAGAAATGATCATTTTTTGGGGCAGTCAAACAATGGAAAGATACTTTTACTGCATTATGTCTCTAAAGTATATTGTATTACATAAAATGACAGCATTTTATTTAGTTATAACACAGCTTAAAACTGCATGAGAGAATAGTATGATAGAATGTACAAAATAAATCATGTTTACAAAGCACTGGGCTTATCCAGACTACCAAATTATGCAATAGTCAGGGGCGGATTTAGGACGTCTTCTGGGTCTCCCAGAAGACGGTCAGATTTTCAAGTTTACATTGAAGGGTGTCTAATTTTTCCGTCGGAAGACGGTCAGAAATGAAGAATGGATTGACAAAGATAATTTGGAAGACTGTCAGAAAATATCTCTCAATCTGCCCCTGATAGTTACTGTTGAGTCACCTCGTTGCTATGATATTATTGTACCACCAGCGTTAGCGCTGGCGGTACACATGGTTTCGGTCCCGTCCGGATCGTTCCGCCGGCTCCGCCGGCTCCGCCGGCTCCGCCGGCTCCGTTGGCTCCGCCGGATGGCTACCGTTACCGCTTCTCCTCCTAGACGGTANTAGTTGTTATGAAAGCATCTGGACATGTGCCCAACATTTTGATATTGCCTTCATATACAGTATGTTTCATATAATTGTAAGGCTGTAGTTCATGTTCACCAAGGTCATTTTCACACTGCAGGACTGGCTAAGACCAGAGAAAAAAACTAAAGAATTATATGTTACCATATACCATAGGCTGGTTCCACAAAAAGAACTTAAGGCTAGAAATTGTTCCAGACTTAAAAAGTGTTTACTGTCCTTTGACCTTAAACAATTACAAATAATCAGTACAAATAAATATTTTGGCTGTTTTATTAAATGAAATATATGGCTAATGCTTTTGACCAAAGATATAATTATCCTTGTAAGTATGTTCTTGTCTTAGATCAAATTTGGTGAAATATTTGGTCTAAAGTTTAGAAAAAATTATCTGTCTAAAGGAATTTTGTGAAAGTGGTATACCAAACTGGTCAGTTTCAGAGTTTAAGGGAATTAAGGGATAAAGATCTGAGCTAATGCTGCAGTGTGGCTGTTTGATTTGATGTGAACAGATGTTGCGCTGTGACACATACATATGCACGCACCCCCCCCCCCACGCACACACACACACACACAAATGCACACGCTGTGCCTTGTATAAGAAAAAGCATATTTTAGGTACTGCACAAAGTCTGTCGCACTGGAGCACAGTCCACATATGCCGTAGTTCACTTACTTGTTTTTCGTGTGTAGCACTGTAAATGAGTGGGAGGGATGACGTCCACTAGCCACCCCACCCTCACCCCTTCATTGTGTTAGGAGTGAAGCACAACACATCTTATTGCATTTTGGATGAGACGAGATCACTTTTGATGAAATCTTTCATTTGTGTCTGTGTAAACATATGATATACAGGCTATTCTTTAAAATTGAAGTATATCTTTGTCAGGAAGATTTTTAATGTCATGGGTTTTATCTATATTTATGTGCCTGTGGCTGCAATGTCGCTCTGACAAATATTGGAAAAACTTAAATGATATTTCCATCAATAATCTTTTAAAAATCATTCATGTTGGCTGCTCTCAGTGTTCATCTACTAGAAGTGCATTAAATTATTTTGAATACATTTTAAGTTTTAATGTCAATTCATTTGTTCAATGCTGCTTGGAATATATGTATTGGAATAATTTTGGTGTGAGGTATGTATAGCTAATTCTTTGATAATGTGCTACTTTTCATTTTTTTCTAGCTGTTTTTGAAAGATCAGCATTTTAATAAATTTCAATCATTGATGTCTGTCAATAATTTAGTTTATCTTACATAAAATGTCAAGCCAGTTTTCTGTAAGTGTAAATTTCATTTGTCTGCCATTTTACTTGTGTTGGCCATTTTGCTTTCCCAACAGATTTCTCCTTACTTTTGAACTTAAGTTCTCAGAATTATTTTTCAGAATGTCATTCCTAATGCTATAATAAAAAATTTATCACAATATTGAAAGTACATGCATAGTTGTGAAAATTGTCAGTCTAGACCAATCCCTCTTCCCCTTTATACTCACCACTTGGGGGGGGGGGGGTGACAATTGATGCATACCAGTCTCCAGGAGGCCAAAAGACATATTGTAAGCTATAGCACAGTACTGTATATATATATATATATATATATATATATATATATATATATATATATATATAATGTCTTTCTGTATCAGCTCCCCATGGTCCGTCCCCATGGGTAGAGCACTCTTCGAAAGTCAATCGATTATATTCTCCATGATATATATAAATATATTAGAACCAGACTACTTTTTACTAGGAGCCCCAATGAATGTCACATTCGCTACTTTATAAATCCCCTCATTTGTACATTTGCCATGTGAGCAGGTATTTGTGAAGATAGGAAAGTAAAGCAACTGGCTCCTATCAGGAACAAGAGTCTGGTTACTTCCTAAAAGAAACATAAGTTGCCTGGAAGAGAGAAAATTGAAGATTGGCGAGAAGAATATATATCATTAACAGCTGTTGATTTTTAATTCCAGCTGATTTACCACCACTCTGCTACTTATATTTATTTAAAGTTATAAATCAGTTTTAAATGCTATTGATTTTGTTCTTTTCATAGGTGATTGTTCAAATATACGGTGCCTGTACAATGCCACCTGTCAAAATGGCCGCTGCATTTGTCGCGAAGATTGCCCAAATCATTACGACCCCGTTTGTGGCTCAGATGGAGAGACCTATGATAACGAATGCGAGATGAATCGGGAAGCATGTATTACCAACACTGAGATAAGCATAGACCATCAGGGTGTTTGTGATGAGCTGTCTGGGTCAGGTAGATGAAGAAAATTAAGTTTCTCGGGGCTACTTTGTCTCAGCGCCCTGACCTAGCTGAGCTTGAATTCAATTCTGTGTGAACCAGCTTCTTCATTTTCAAATCTCCACATGTGCACTCCTATGAAATGGGATTAGAGCGAGTATTTGTGGAAATTTGCTCATGAAGTTGTCTTACTAACACGGTCTAAATCTCAAGCTACAGTGTTTGTCTCTGTGATTTATGAGACCTCTCTATACCTTAATGTATAATGGAGTAAAGGGTGACTTTGTTAAATGTTAACTGTGTAAGCGTAATCTTGATCATGAACTACTGAAAATTTACTTTATATTAGAATCAGTAAAATTTTGGATTGAATAGCATATAATCTCACAGTGCCACAAAATGTGATTATTTTGAATATTGTGATAACTGTACAGTAATATGAAATTTTTACTTTCATTTTTTGTGTATAGAACTATGACTATGGTTCCTTTTAGTATTAGTACCATACTAGTAGTTTCACTAGATTTGACATCTAACCTGTAGATAGTGCTTCTAATACTGCATGACTGCATATGAATGTTTATCATAACTAACTTGTATAAAGGAAGCAAAGCTCAAATTCAATCAGGATCTCTTAGTCTGAAAATAACACAGACAACCTTTTTTGGATGCAATTGCAGAATCTAGTTTTTGGCTGAATATTTGGTATTTTTTATAAACTAAGCGTTTTCAAGACCGTAAGTATACTTTTTTACTGCCAGCTTTCTTTTTGGTAAATTTACCTTATTTTTGCTTTATTGTCATTATTTTTGCGTGGTATTGGAGAATGTTGTTTTTCATATTCATACTCTTTTAATCAGAGAAACTTATTATTAGTGTGATGTGGTATGAGGCCTTATTCCACTTAAAGAAAAAAATAATCTGGTATGGTAACTGATAGTGGCTTGTCTTGTGCTGAAAAAGGGACATTTTTGGCTTTGTGCTGCCATCTTGTGACAAATTTTGCTTAAATGAATCAGATATAAATTATATGTAAACATATAATATATAACTTTCAGCATTAACATCTTGGGCTGCTGCTAAACTAAAATATATGCAAATGACTTTGGTTTGGGGTTAACCAAATGATTATCCCTTTTCTGCGAATTTATACTTGTAGTGCAGTAATTTCTAAAGTGCAATCATTGTGGCTACAAATCTGATGAATATATCGGGCTGCAGTTTGGAACTGCGACTATTATTCTGGGTAATTTAAAAACAGAATTCTGTTATTATACCACTAAAGACATTTTCAACACACACAGGTTCAGGAGAAACAGTATGTGAAGAAACTACATGTCGCTTTGGTGGAGTTTGTGACTTTGACGCAGAAGGAAATGGATGTGTCTGTAAAACAGATTGCCCGGCCATTGGGTAAATGTTACCAACTTGCTTTTGATAACTGTTATATATGATGTCAGTTAATGTACCTATTGAAGTTCTTGTCTAAACTTATAGATACACCACAAAATGAATGCGATGTTTTAACTTGTTAAAACAAGTTCGAAGCGTGAGTGGGTGTTATGTACACCCGGACATTGTTCTGACAAGTAGAACATTTGACTTAAACTATGATCAATTTTGAGAGAAAAAGACTTTATGAAATATTTTTTAAAGATGTTTCCTATCTGCAGCATGAATTAATTAACAAATATTTATTCTAGCTATCATGCAATGTAACATACTGTATTAGTATTTAAACAGAGATTGTTACAAAGAGCAAAGGGGTGAATACTTTCTTTTAATGGCTTCTTTCTGCAGTGTAAATGCATGTTTAGTCTGTAAATTAGTATTACAACTGAAAAAAAATGGTGTTTTTGTTACCAGGTCGCCAGTTTGTGGCAATGACGGCAAGCGGTACATGAGTAAATGTCACTTGGAAGTCGCCATGTGTAAACGCCAGAGAGAGATCAAAGAAGTACCATGTAATGTTGTTCAGCTGAATTTTCTGCATTAGAATATCAAACAGATGTTATAAATAGATGATGGATCTTTCTTAATCGCAAATTTTAAAATTTTAGAATGCATACAATTATTTATCTTGAAGTTATATTTAAGGGTATTTTATAATAAAACAGAAAAAGTGATGGGCTAGTCAAAAAATTGTGAATATAACACAAAATGCATGCATCACTGACATCACTGACTCTTATTTTTTATTATTATTTTTTTAATGACTCAATATTAATGACAATTCCAGGCCCTCCTTCGATTGCCTGTGATGGAGAGACGCCGTTGGTCAACCCAAGAACTGGCAAAGACTATGACTGCAGCATTGACAGTCTTGATGACCCTTGTCCAGCTAACAGTTACTGCCACAAGGGACCAAAGTTTGCCAAATGTTGTTTGGAAGTTACAAGTAGGTGCAAAATTATTGGAACAGAAATCATCTGAACTACCTGTTGCTGAAATTGAGGCTGTGTACACTGCATGATGGCATATTTAGCTTGGGTTAATTTTAGTAGTATTTTAAAGTTATATCAATAAATTTTCTCTGCTTTCTTTAATTAATTAATTTTATCAGTAAATGTTAAAGTATTTTAGTATTGTTATTTTTAGACTTTTTAATTATTTGTAAAGTGCATTGAAATGTAAAAAATGGAATGCGCTATATAAGAAATAAATATTATTATTATTATTATTATTATATTTGAGATGAAAAAACATGTCATTACAACTTATTTATATATACTGTATTGTTTGGAAGTTATAAGTAGGTGCAATTATTTTCTTAATGTAACCGAAATTGAGGCTGTGAACACTGCATGATGTTATTTGAGATTTAAAAATGTGCGAGAAACCTGCCATTATTTCTCGACCCATTCTCTTCCATATTCTGCCATATCTTACTTGATTTTGTGTTCAGTTCAGAGAGTTTTGGTCATTTCCGATGATTCATGATTTATTATGAAAGGGGTTTTGGTGGCTTAATTACTTTATGCCTCTGTTTACAGATTTTCACAAGATGCTATTACCGCTGTATTTTCACATTTGGCAGGAGCAAAAGGTTACCCTTAGCAAAATGAAAAGTGTGCATCACATGTGCAGCTCATCTTTGCTTAAGTATTTTAATATATAAAATATTAAAATATTTTCCCCGAGATGTATACATACTACTTAAATTTTACGTTCCAGAGCCTATTCCTATTCCTTGTGCAGAGAGTAAATATGGCTGCTGTCCTGACGGAAAGACGTCTTCTCCTGGTCCCAATGGAGCCGGATGTCCTAGTAGGTCTTAGGTGTAGCATGGATGCATGTGTGTGTGTTTGTGTGTGTGTGTGTATGTGTGCACGAACATGCATGTGTGAGGGAGTTGATCATTTATGACCTACATTTAATTTCTTCAATGTGCAAAAAGAAGTATCTAGTAGGTGGTTCTGGTACAATTTATGAGTTTTCATTGTGATGTCATAATCCATTTTTAAGGGCGATTGGTTAATATTTTTGTGAATACGAATCATTCTTTTTAAATCTGTTGCTCAATGATACTCATTATGGAAATAAACGACTGATTTTACTGTTTGTGCTACTGTAACAAATTTTGTCGACATTTGGAGAGGATGATGGGTTGATGCTGGTTATGTGGTTTTTTGCTGTGTACTACCCCCCTGAAATGTGGATGGTGTAAGGTTTCTTGTATCTTTCTTTAAAACAGACATTTAACTTCTTGTCTATGCCTCAACTTGCTGCATCTGATATTTAACATGCATATGAAGTTTAATGCCATAAATGAATAATGGTAAAGTTATCTAATTATAATATGAATTAACAATCTGAACTTATCAGAAAAGTAATTTTCAGACTTTGTTAAAATTGCAACAGCATATGGCTGTAATTACTTATTCACTTTGTGGGTATTGAGTTATGTGCTTCAGCTTCCATGAGTTTCCAATATTATATGTAACCAGCAAAGGTGAGCTCTTAAGGTGCAGTCAGACAGGTTTTGGAGGGACCGAGAACCGTCTCAGGTATCAGTGCATCCCCAGAGCACTAAAGAGTTTACAACTTGGGACAGATATTTCTAGTCCCAGTTTTTACACAGTAAATCCATCCTTGACATGTTTTAAACTCGGGTGTATTTTAGGTAATATTTTGGTGATGCATTTTGGACACAAAACATTTTGACTTTTAGACCTGTATGAATGTGACTTGAAATTCACTCCTATGGATGATGGCTTGTGAAAATAAATTGACAAGTCAAAAGAAAACTTACTGCAATACGATTACATTTAGGCTCCAGCTTCAAAATCTAATAATCATCATCAAAGCACAATATGTATACCGGTTGAATAAAATTACACATGGAACAGGAAGAAAAGCAGGGTTACAGCAGTATGTTTTCAACTAAAAACATGAACATTTGTGAAATATTTGACAGTACAAAATTTTCTGATCTCAATAATTGAAGTGATTATCATAACAATATTTCTTGAGCTTTGCTTCAGCTTTGTTGAGATATATCTATAGTCAAAAGCATTTTGGTACTACTACATGTATATTTGAGCATGTACATGTTTATAAGTATATCAATATGTAAAATGAGCTAATCTTAACAATGATCTCTCTCTAAAATTTAACCAACCTGCATGCATGACATTAAAATCCTATAATATATTTTAACCTTCTTGTTAACACTGCATGTGAATGCAGTACGTATTAACTATTTTATGGTCATGCAATTCACAAACAGGACTACAGCCAGGAACTTAACATGGGAAATTCTAATCGAGAATCCCATGTCATCTGCACTTTAGGTAGTTATGTCTCTGTTGATGACTGCCTTTGTCCATAATTATATAATTAATATGTAGTGCATCTGCATATTTGCATCTGGGATGGAAATCTCAAATACTGTACTAATGAATAGTGCCATACTTAGGCTGTATTCCCAGAGCTTTTAGATCGATCTATCCCCGCGGGGAGTCTCACTAGATTACTGTCAGATAATCCGGCTTAAATGTCCGTCCCGCCTACTACAAGCTGTAAGGGGGTAATTAACTTTCGTGTCCGCTAAGCTGACAGCTATTTAGCGTGAACCCCCAGGGAGTTAGGTCGATCTAAAGTAGATCGATCTAATCTCTGGAAATGGGGTCTTATACTTGAGAGCATTTAAAAAAAGTTCTGATAATCTATAAAATGCTAGTTATAAGTATACTGTAGTACAGTGTATGTAACCTGCATTGTTGAAAATGATCAATATCCATGCATTGTTTTGCCTAACAAGCATGATGCACCTGTTATTAATAATCATAAGCTGCATCTTTCACAAGTGTAGAATTGAAATGTATTTCTCTTTGTAGCTCAGTCATTTTAATCATTATTGAACAATTTCAGTAACTTTTTTTCAAAATTTTTTTTCAAATATTGTTTTATCGCTTTCAAGGTAGCTGTGAGTGTAACCCTTTTGGTTCATTCGGAAAGACATGCGACCCCACTTCAAAACAATGCTCGTGCAAGCCCGGCGTAAGTGGACTGCATTGTGATCGTTGCGAAATCGGTTATTGGGGATTTCGTAAAATTACAACTGATGGTAACAGTGGCTGCATTCGTAAGTTTTTTCTTTTTTTTTCTTTTTTGAAGAAAAGTTAGCTTTTTATGAAAGTGCAGATTTAAATAATTTTATTTCATAATTTCATTTTTATTTAGAGTAGCTAATCAAATTTCACAATTATATTCATTTGATTTAGACCAAATTTCGTTGGAGTAATGTCACAAAGTTTGGATAGCAAAGGTGTTAAGATTTAGTCAACTAGATTTTTCTGTTCAAATTTTGANTTTTTTCAAATATTGTTTTATCGCTTTCAAGGTAGCTGTGAGTGTAACCCTTTTGGTTCATTCGGAAAGACATGCGACCCCACTTCAAAACAATGCTCGTGCAAGCCCGGCGTAAGTGGACTGCATTGTGATCGTTGCGAAATCGGTTATTGGGGATTTCGTAAGATTACAACTGATGGTAACAGTGGCTGCATTCGTAAGTTTTTTCTTTTTTTTTTCTTTTTTGAAGAAAAGTTAGCTTTTTATGAAAGTACAGATTTAAATAATTTTATTTCATAATTTCATTTTTATTATGTACAGACACAGATGTGTCTGTACATATTGCCATCACCTGCGTCTGTCGTCGCCGATGCCAATGCCGATGGCAATGCCGATGCCGATGCCGATGCCGTCGCCGTGCACTTTCCTTGTAAACACGATAAGTGGAAGACAGTTTTACTTTTTGGCTTTATATTTACAGAGCTGATGAATATTCATAAAACGCAGGACAAGTTCAAAAATCAGCATGATCGGGCCATTATTGTAGAAGTTATGCTGTTTTTTCACTTTTCAGCATATATGCAACCTTGTAAACACATTTTAAGGAAAACCGTTAGGCCTATTGTCATGAAACTCACAGGAGTGGTCAGTCTTACTAAAACGCAGGTTGAGTTCGAAAATCAGCATAATCGGGGCA